GCACCCACATGGTGGAGACGAACGGTCCTTAACTCCAGTTCCAGAGGAATCCCAACTCCCTCTTCTGACCTCCAAGGCATTGCATGACACCTGTGCACTCACATACATGCAGGCAATACACTCATACACATAAAATAAAAATAAAATATATTTAAAAAAAATAAGATATTTAAATAAATTATACTTATCCAGTCTTCTGTATCCTTGGCAAAATCCCCTGTAGGCTGTATGATAAAGTATTCTGAAATTCTCTCCTGTGAAAGTCCCCACTTTGTTATTATATAAGTAGGAGAAAATTCTCAACCTGCTTGGTCAAATTGATACCCTGTTATCTACTAAGGCAAATGTTCTTCATTCATCCACTGACATGCATCTGTGTGAGTCAGTAATTCTAAAGCTGACGTGGAGCCACTTGAACTACTCAGCAAACAAGTACCTTTCTGTAGATTCCCTTAAGAGATTTTCTACTATTTAAGGCCATTTTGTTTTCAATTAACAGTGAGTTTCATACAATAGACAGAAAAAGAGAACGTCACACTCTAGTCTGTACTGCAGCATTTGGCAAATATTTGGCAATTCGTGTTTCTTGAAGTCAATTTTTATTACACACACATATACTTATAAAAGTGCCACAGTAATAAAAGTATATTAAAGTGAAATTAAAAGGCTTCATGGTAATAAATTGTTGATGTGTACCCTTCTGAACATACTAAGAGTCTCCATTTAGTTCACTACTATATTAGCCAGTCCTTGGCTGTCACATGCTAAACACTTAATAAATATATTAAATCTCTTAAAACAACAACAACAAAAGCACACTTCCCTTTGAAAAAGCAAAATAGAACCCGGTGTGGTGGCACACACCTTTGATCCCAGCACTTGGGAGGCAGAGGCAGATGGATCTCTGTGAGTTCAAAGCCATCCTGGTCTACACAGTGCATTTCAAGCCAGCTAGGGCTACAGGGAGACCCTGTTTCAAAAAAATAAATAAATGAGTAGACCTCTATAACAGTACACGTTTCATAAAGTGACAGTAACTCCGTAGTGTGCTGGTTTTCTCATTCCATGTATTTATGAGTGGAGTTCAAAGATAAGCAGCTTCTTTTTATGGAGAGTGGTCCTTCTAAATCCAACCATTTCTGTGATGCCAAATGGCTGGTAGTACATGCTACCTGGCAGACACTAAAAAAACTGTCTTTCTATGTAAGGGTGACAGTTTAATGAGTAAGAAAATAACTGCTTCTAAAAGGATATTTGTACTATTTTTAAAAATTATATTTGGGAAAAAAAAAAACAACTACATTTGGAAATGTTTCTATTGTTCCATGATTTTGTGGTTGAAAACAGTTTCTATCAAAAACATAACCAGGGGGCTGGAGAGATGGCTCAGAGGTTAAGAACACTGGTGTTCTTGCAGAAGACCTGGGTTTGAATCCCAGCACCCACATGGCAGCTAACAACTGTCCGTAACTCCAGTCCCAAGGGATCCCAGCACCCTCTTCTGACCTCCAAGGGCATTGCATGACGCTGGTGCACTTACCCTACATGCAGGTAATACATGCATACAGATAAAATAAAAAAAATAAAAACATAACCAGATAGCAAAATTCAAGGTGCAGAGGGAGGAAAATAACAAGTTTGAGGTCAGGCTATACTACTTGGCAAGATCCTGTCTCAAAAGTCTGGCCCAGCATGGTATGGTGACACATGCCCTTAATTCCAGCACTTGGGAGGTAGAGGCTGACAGACGTCTGTGAGATCAAGGATCGAGGCCAGTCAGGTCTCCACAGCAAGGCCAGCTGGGGATACAAGGAGACCCAAATAAAAAAGGTACTGAAGGGGGCATGGTGGCACACACCTTTAATCCCAGAACTTGGGAGGCAGAGGCAGGTGGATCACTGTGAGTTCAAGGCCAGCCTAGTCTACATAGTGAGTTCCAGGACAGCTGGGGCTACAGGGAGACCCTGTCTCAAAAAGTCAAAAAAAAAAAAAAAAAAAAAAAAAAAAAAAAAAGCTACTGAACAGAGTTTGAAAAAAAAAATGTTTCAACCTAGTTTTTACGTACAGCACATTTAAAAATACACCACTTTCCAATTAATTAGTAAGAACAGCTGGTTTAATCAGGGAAAAAGCAAATGTTAACTGCCAGCTTCAACAAATTCCTTTGTATAATTGATAAAAGAATTGAAAGATGGGGGTGGTGGTACACGCTTTTAGTCCCAGCATTCAGGAGGCAGGGGCAGACTGATCTCTGAGATCAAGGCCAGTCTGGTCTATACAAGTTCCTGGAGCTACAGGGAGACCCTGTGATGATGAGGAGGAAGGAGGAAGGAGGGAGGAGGGAGGAGGGGGAGGGGAGAGGGGAGGAGGAGGGGGAGAGGAGGAGGAGGAGGAGGAGGAGGAAGAGGAAGGAGAAGGAGGAGAATAATTATTGAAATGTTGGATTGGAGAGAGCTCAGCAGCTAACAGCACTTGCTGTTCTTGCAGAGGACCAGAGTTCAATTCCCAGTACCCACAACAGGTAGTTCACAATGACCTATAACTCCAGCTAGAGGGGAGCTGACACTTTCTTTTGGCTTCTGTGCAGACACATACAAAATAAGAATGATCTTTTATTAAAAAAAGTCTCAGGGACTGGAGAGATGGCTCAGCAGTTAAGAGCACTGACTGCTCTTGCAAAGGACCCAGGCTTGATTCCCAGCACCCACATGGCAGCTAACAAAGGTCCGTAACTCCAGTTCTAGGGGATCCGACGCCCTCTTCCGACTTCCAAGGGCACTGCACAAGTATACTTACACACATGCAGGCAATACACTCACATACATAAAGTAAAATAAATTTTTTAAAGTGTTTAAAAATAATAAACATATTTGAAATGTTAGTCCTACAGCCAGTGATGCAGTCTTCCATTAGGATACACAAACCTTAGTAGGTAGCTGTTTCTCAATTCTGGAAGTCATTAAAATCAAGTGAGCAAAGTCAATGACTTTGGAACCAGAACTTTGAATAGCTACGCCTTCAATCACATTGTGATGTATCCTAATCATCAACAGAGCACACTAACCTCAATCAGTAACAGTAAATACTGATTTCCCTGGGAGCTTTGGCATCATTTTTGACTGGCAGAGCTCTTACTCTCAAGGAGATCAAAGCAGTCCACAAATTAAGTCTGCTGATCATTTATTTTGCCAGGATCTTGAAATCAAGCTATAAAACTCAGATAATACCTCCTCTGGTTCCCCATGAGGATGAACTAGAACCACACGAACGAACAGCCTGGAGTCATGCCTAGCACAAGCAGATGTCAGTAAGCATTGCCTGCCTTCTTCGAGGTCTTACACTGTGTGGCGGAAGAAGACAGCATAGATGCGGGAATTCTATTTGAATTCTCGTAACACTTGCTAGCTGTGAGACTTGGGACAAAATATTAAACTCCATTTGTAAAACAGAAATAATAATGCCAACTTGTTAGGTTTAATGTCCACCATTTAAGAGTACTGCACTGTGCACCAATTAACTCTCCTGACATTCAATAAGCATCCAACCCTCCTTTCAAGACAGCCTGGTCAGTTTGTAGCAACGAAAGGCCAAGGAAATCTGCCCTGCTGAGGATATCAGATCTTTGACCTTTCAGCCCTTCCCTACCTTCAAGTCTCTAAATAAGTTGGTTTGATCAGAGAAAAGAAAAAGATAGCCCTTTCATATAACTGCACCAAAAGCACAGCCTCAAGGTTGCTGAATTTTAAATGTGCACCAGAATCTCCATCTTCTAGACAGGCATGATGGGACACACCTGTCACAGCACTGGGGTGACTGAAGCATGAGCACTGCCCTAGTTGTAAGCCATCCTGGGCTACACAGCAAGTACCAGGGCAGCTAGAGCTTCATTTAAAAAAAAAAAAATTAAAAGAATTCCCACCTTCTGGCAAGAATGACATCTATACAATAGCCTGACAGAGTACTTGACCTGTATATTGAACCCAGGCGAATCTCTTGGCTGATTGTGACAGCCTGCACCCACCTTGTAGGACCGTATCTTTTTGTTATTCAAACTAGAGATCTTGTATTCGCTCTCTAGTTTAAGTTGCCTACTTTCAATACAATTATGTTTTTATTCATAACCCTCAGCAGAAATTAACGTAAAGGAGTTTCCATAATTTAAGCTTTTCGATGGCAAAGGGGGAAATCACTCCATTCTTGTCAAAGCCAAGACAGAACAAAGTAAAATACGAGACACTCAACTCACAGATGCATATACAACTGTATTCGGTGAGTTGAAATACATATGAAGCTCCAGTAAGACAGTGAGTCAACCCACAGCCTCTGGATGAAAAGGAGAGAGCAGGCTCTTAAAAACGGCTAGAAACTGCAGCTTCGGCGCTTTGGCAACACTTGCTTTTACGATCTGTCGATCTATCACGTGAAGCAAAAAGGCAAATCTAAATGGCACTACTTGGGTCACACAACCATCTACAGGCTGGAACACAAACCGGCCTGCAAACATGTAATCAGGCAAAGCAGGCAAACCTGAAGAGGCCTCCCCTAGCTTTCGGGACGCCGAACGCCATATCCGCGTCCCAGCTGCCAAACCGAAAGCAGTAACTGGGGCTTTTGACAGCTCCTCTTTACCTTTAATCTTTGCTAAAGTTATCAAATAAATATAGGATTTGTTTGCGTAGACCCCGCTGACCTTCGCATCCGAAGGGGCCACACGGCTCACCCCCTTCCCTGAACCCTTTTCGGCATGCTTCACAGACCCCTAAGCACTAACTGGGCTGTTCCCATAGGGTGCCTCCACGACAGCCCCCAAGTCGGAACACGTAATGTGTTCCAAGGGCGCAAACTTACTACAAACCACACTTTCACACGGGTCCTGGAGCCCGCCCACACTAGGTCCAAACAGTTGCCACGGAGGGACCGAGCGTCACCGGTCTTGACGCTCGCTCAGACTCGGTCCTAAGGAGAGCGAGTCCCTAGTCCCGCTGGTCCGCAGCGCTTACCCATTTGTCCAAGGGGACCTGGGCGAGGGAGCCGGTGCCCTGGTACAGGTCCAGGCTGAGCTGCTCCAGGCTCAGCTTCTCCTGCAGGAAGTGGCCCAGGTACCGCTGCAGGAGGTACCGACAGGCCCTCTTCTTGATAGACTCTGAAAATGGCCAAGGCATGGTGAGGGCTGGCGGCAGGGCGGGCTGGGGCTGCGCGCGAGGACCGCTCTGGCCTCGGCTCCGGGGGCGCCTCGGGGCCCTGCCGGCGTCCCCAGGCCGCGGTGGGGTCTAACCCGTTGCGGGGGTCTACACCCGCGGCGGCCGCTGCATGCCGCTTCGACGCAGCCGTCCCTCAGGGCAACCCCATGGCGCGCGGCGCGGCGCTCGCACTAGGCCCGGCGGGGACTAGACGTGGAGGGGACCCCGGCGCCCCAGGCCGCGGGTTCCGGAGCGCTCGGTCAGCTCCGAGAGAAGATGCGAGAGAGCCCGAGGCCGACTGCCGGGTCGAGCCAGACTCCGACACTGAGCAACTAATTTGTTGTCATCTACCAAGCGCGTTCCCGACCCGAAGCGCTCCCGGCGCGTTCTCGAGACTCGCAACCCGCACAAGCGGAAGTGACGCCATATTGGGAGCTGGGGAGGCGGGGGAAAGGGTCCGGGCAGGAGCATTTCCGGTGGCGAGTAGGCGGGGCGGGGGCGGGGCCGGGGGCGGGGTGGTGCCGCGGGCTGGCTCCTGACGCCTCCCGAGGAGGAAGAGGAGGGAGATGGGCGCGCGCAGGTGAGCGGGAAGGCGGGCACCGGCCGGGGGGACGCGGCGGCGGGGTGCGGCGGCGGGGTGGGGAGGATCGGCGGTCACACCCGGCTGCGGGTCTGGCTGACGGGTATACGGGGGCGGCGGCTGCGGGGGCAGGTCCGGCTTGGGCTGCCCCGGCCCTCAGACTCCGGCCTGCCTGGAAGTGATGCTCCAAACGCCGCCAGCTCTGGGGCGGACTGGAAACTCTCCGGCAACTCTACCCGGATATTGACTGGTGTCCGTAGTCAGCACGTTGGTTCCCCTCCTCAAGCTGGCATTGTTTGCAGAGCATGCGGTTGGTCTGATGGTTTGCGGTTTGCAGAGCGCTGAATTCATCCTGAGTGTGCCATGCCGGCGACCAGGAAACTCAGGGTTCATGGCTTTTGTGGGTAAAACTGTTTTCTCAGATAAATGCGGATGCCTCCTGACCCCACATATCTGCGCAATCGTGGTTTTGCTATTTAAAAGGCAATCTTGCAGAGGCGCAGCTGGCTTCCAAATTAGGCAGCCCCTAAAGGCCCAAGTTCGGGTAGCTCGGAAATCAGCGGGCCTGAGTTAGAATTCTGACACTTTACACTGAGCCGCCTAGAACCTGCCGCTGTCCTGTCTGAACCTGTGTTGCCTCCTCTGCCAGGTGTGAGCAGGTTAATATCATATGCCCAAGGATTGCTAAGAAATTTAAATGCTTTGGGCAGGGAAGGAACTTTAAACATAGAGTCCTGAAACCTGCACATGGTTAATTGAGGAGAGTGAGTTAGGATGACCAGTTTAAGGAGTTAAGTATTTACTGTTTCATGAATGCTAACAGCCTAGAAATGCTGGCAGAGAGATCTGGCTTTCCCTTCTACACCTAGCTCCTTCCCAGTAGAGGACCAATGTGCGGGAAGACTGTTGATGCCCCTAAGTCGTTGTAGATTTATCCCAGGTGTTCCCAGTAACTTCCTTACACAAACTTAAAAGTCACTGCAGTCTGAAGTGTACTGGAGAGTCAGTCCAGCAGAGGATTGGGATGTGGGTCAGTTGTGGAGGGTGTGTTTAGCACAGCGAAGGCAAGCCCTGAGCTCAAATGCTAGCTCTAGGAGGGAAGGAGGGAAAAAGGGAGGGAAGGAAAAAGTTCAGGCAGAACTTTCAAGGAATATATGTTCTAAAGGAAGAGGGCCATTCATTGATTAAGGATCTATTGATTGCTGTGTGCCAGGAACCATTTTAAGTATTGGGGATACAGCAGTAAACAACTTAAGGCTCTGCCTTCATGGAGTTTATAGTTTATTGAAAGCTGAAACAGTGCCTGGTGTGCCATTGATGATCATTGCTACAGAAAAAAAAATATATTAATAATAGAAATTGACGGGAGAAATTTGTCTTAAGGTTTGAACCCAAGACCTTTCACATTCTAAGGAACTGCTCTGCCACCGAGCTACATTCTCAGAATTGGTTCTTTTATTTTTTGGTCTTTTTGAGACAGGGTCTCCTGTAGCCCCAGCTGTCCTGGAACTCACTATGTAGACCAGGCTGGCCTTGAACTCACAGGGATCCACCTGCCTCTGCCTCCTGAGTGCTGGGATCAAAGGCGTGTGCCACGTTTGCCCGGCCTTTTTTTTTTTAATTTTTAAATATTTTATTTGTTATTTTTATGTGTATGCATGTATTGCCTGCACATAAGTAAGTGCACCCATGCTGTGCAGTGCCTGCAGAGGACAGAAAAGGCTGTTGGATTCCCTGGAACTGGAGTTACGGACAGTTGTTAGCTGCCATGTGGGTGCTGGGATTCAAACCCAGGTCTTCTGAGAGAACAGCCAGTGTTCTTAACTGCTGAACCATCTTTCCAGCCCAGAATTGATTCTTTTGGTTTGGTTTGGATTGGTTTTGAGGCAGTAACTATTGTAGCTCTTGTTATATAGCCTAGACTGGCTTTGAACGTAGGGTCTTCCTGTCTCAGCCTCACAAGTACTGGGATTGCAGGCTTGCCCCACCACATCCAGCTCTGCCTTTGTTTATACAGGTTATGAGAAAAATCCTCTTATTTTAAAAGATAACACTTTAGTGGAGACTTGGAGAAAACAAGGAAGTAAGGCACGTGAGTACCTGAGAGTTATTTTCCAGATGGGAGGAACAGCACCTGCAAGACCAAGTGACAAGAGTAATGTTCAGTGAGTTCAGGAGCATGAGGAGGGAGGAAAGGAATGTACAGAAACTGATGGTAGATGAAACAAAAAGAAATACTACATAATGTTCCCCAAGTTTTTCCAGGCACATATGCTAACTACTGTGTTGAAAATGGCCTGGCTGTAGGAATTAGAAGACCAAAGGTAAGTCTGGCCAGACCAACCCCAGGACCCTGCAGTGATCCAAATGCCAGGGTTGGACCGAGCAGCTTCACTGAAAATAGTTACACAGCCAGGTTCCAGATACATTTTGAAACTAAGACTACTTGCAGGTAATAAGATAACACTTTCCCTGGTATAAACAAAGCAGGGTCAAAGGTCAGAGGTGGGCATGTGCCTAATCTAGGCCCAAGGAGTTTTGAACTGGACCTTTGACTATGACTGAGACTTGCACTTCATTCAGTGACTGTTAAATAGGTGGTTTCCTTTGCACTGTAAAGGGGCCAGGTGTGGTGGTGCAAGCCTTTAATACCAGCACTTGAGAGGCAGAGACAGGTGATCTCTGAGTTCAAGGCCAGCCTGGTCTCCATAGCCAGTTCTAAGAACTGCCATTGTTGTACCTTTAGCTCAAAGAGGAATCAAACTCAATCCCTTGTCATGGGGCTGTTCTTATGTTTTATCAAAGGCAAGTTCCTAGTTCAGAATCCTCACACCCTAGCATTTATTAAGAAAAATGAAAATAATTATACAACCAGATATTGTCAGCTTTTAGACTTGCTAAAGCAATTTCCAGTGGCAGGTTAGAAGGTATATTCCACAGACCAAATGCATCAAAGGGAAATAATAATATCCATAGCGACCCATGTTAACAGGGGAAGTAAAAAGGAAAACCAGTGTGATGATTATGTTTAAGACTTGCATGTAAGACTGGCCCAGTGGAGCACACCTATAATCCCAGCACACGTGAGGTAGAGGCAGGCAGATCTCTGTGAATTTGAGGCTAGCCTGGTCTACATAGTGAGTTCCAGGCCAGCTGGTCTACAGGGAGACCCTGTCTCAAAAAGCCTAAAAAATAAAGTAGTAGACTGGATGTGGTGGTGCACACCTTTAATCCTAGACATTGGGAGGTAGAGGCAGGCAGATCCCTGTGAGTTTGAGGCTAGTCTGGTCTACATAGCGAGTTCCAGACCAGTCAGGGCTACATACTGAGTGAGGCCCTTCTTAAAACACAAAACAAAACAAAAATAAGGCACAAAAGACTTAGCAATCAATATCTTGATAACTAGTTCCATGAATCCTCAAAAACAGAGAAACAGTGGCACAGCCTAGAAATTACCAACAGATGGAGAAAGCTGAATCGTGAATAATTTATGTGGGTTGTTTTAAAGGATCCTTTATGAACACTTCATAGGAAGCAGTGCCGTGTGCAAGAATGGCTGGTCCAGCAGCAGACCCTCGCTCAGACTGTGGCAGGGCAGTATAGCGCTTAGAGGGAAGTGGGGAGATTTCTGTTTTGTATCTGTTGATTTGCTTTGTGTTGCTTAGACCATGCTCTCTACTTGTAGTTCCAAGAACCCTCCATTCCTTGAGGCCTATGTAGTAATAAACAGTAACTCCTGGATTTTTTAGTTTTTTTAAGTGAGAGTCTTTTCTTAGAATCTTATTTACAATCTCTGGCTTTGAAGGTTATAGTGTTACTGCTTATTTTTAGTTCTAGAGTTTTGTCAAATTAGCACCTTCCATATCTTCACCCTGAATTTGTCCTTAATCACAAAGCACAGTACAGTCTGTTGGCTTGATTTGTGATTACAAGCTGATGCCCATGTCTCAGTTATTGCTGAAGTCGGAGTTTAGACTAGCTATAAATCCAGTTATAAATGAAAAATAGAGCCGGGCATGAAGGCACACGCCTTTAATCCCAGCATTCAGGAGGCCGAAGCAGGCAGATCTCTGAGATCAAGGCCAGTCTGTTCTACCTAGCAAGTTTCAGGCTAACTGGGGCTACAGAAAAAAACCAAAAAATAAATAGATAAGTATATATTTGCTAGAGCCATTGAAAACAAATGTAAATGTTAGGTGTCATAGTGTCATAAAATGTAAAAGTTAAACAAGGTTTGTGATTTGCTCACATTCTAAATGTGCTAATTATCACTGATTATTTGTATTCATCTTTGTCTTTTTAAAAGTCTAGTAATTTTATTTTATATGTATGAGACTATTGCCTGCGTGTATGTAAGTGTACCCATGTCATACAGTGCCCACAGAGGTCAGAGAGGGCATCGGACCCCCTGGAACTGGAGTTATAGATGGTTGTTATCCACCATGTGGGTGCTGGGAATCAAACCTGGGTCCTCTGCAAGAGCAGCCAGTGCTCTTAATCACTGAGCATCTCTCCTTCCCCTTGTCTTTATTTTTAAAATAGTTGTTTAAAATACAGTTGTCCTAGTTTGTTTCTTCATTGCTGTGACAAAAAGAGCACAGAAAACTTGAACTAGAGAGTCAAGGTTCGTTGGCACATGCAATTTTTTTTTTTTTTTTGGTCTTTTTGAGACAAGGTCCCAGCTGTCCTAGAACTCACTATGTAGACCAGGGTGGCCTTCAACTCACAGAGATCCTCCTGCCTCTGCCTCCCTAGGGATTAAAG